GTTGGGGTGCCTGGGTGGCTCAGTCGATGGAGCATCTGACTTCGGCTCAGGTCATGATCTCATGGTTTGTGAGTCTGAGCCCTGCATTGGGCTCTCTGCTCTCAGTGCAGAGCCTCCTTCAGATCCTCTGCCCCCTCATTTTCTGCACCTCCCCTGCTCGCTCCCAAAAATAAATAAAACATTTTTTAATGCTTATTGTTCATTTTTGAGAGAGACAGAGAGAGAGGGAGCAGAGAGACAGGGACAGAGGATCTGAAGCAGGCTCTGAGCTGACACCAGAGAGCTCAATATGGGGCTTGAACTCCCGTACCGTGAGATCATGACCTGAACCAAAATTGGATGCTTGACTGACTGAGCCACCCAGGTTCCCCACAAAATAAATAAAACATTTAAAAGATAATAAAATAAAATAGTTAAGTTTATGCTATGTGAATTTCTCCTAAAAAACATTATACAAACATTTGCTATGTCCACTTTCATTCTACAAGTCAGATCCAAAGCCCAGAGTTTCCTGGCAAATCCACACTGGGGAGAGGGGAGAGGGTGGTACTAACGTAGTGCAGAAGCATAAAACATAAAACATGTGCCTTAGAATCAGAACCCAGGTCGCCTGGATGGCTTGGCCAGTTAAGCATCCAACTCTTGGTTTCCGCTCAGGTCATGACCTCACAGTTGTGGGATTGAGCCCCACATCTGGCTCTGCACTGACAGCATAGAGCCTGCTTGGGATTCTCTCCCTCCCTCTCTCTCTGCCTCTCTGTTTCTCTCTCTCTCTCTCTCTCTCTCCCTCCCTCAAAAGTAAATAAATAAACTTAAGAAAGAATCAGACATGCCTAAGTGTGGGCCCCTGCTCCACCATTTGCTGGTTGTGTGATCTCAGGCAAGTTACTTCACTTCTCTGAACCTGTTTGCTCATCTGTCAAATGCATGAGTGATGGGACTATTCCCTGAGATCCACAGCTCAGACCCATAAGAAGACACTGGGCTGAGTGCAGAGGGGTGGGGTGAAGGTCAAGATTCCAAGACCTGCAAATTCCAGAAATCATCCCTTCCATTAAAAGATGCTGATGACAAACACATATGCTACTTCCAGTGATCCCTTGCTGGCAGAGCTTGCTTGTCGGTAAAGGTTACTTCTGCAACAGACAGATTCAAGGCCAATTCGGAGCAGGCTGGGAGCAAAGCAAACACTATAGCCTTATCTTGGAGACATGGTGTGGGTATAAAGAGGGAGGCAGTAGGTGGCTTTAGTCCTTTCTCTCGCTCGTTCGGCAACTTAACAGGATGAAATTCCTTGTGCTGGTTGCTCTGCTCACAGGTAGGCGAGCCTCCTCAGCTGGGCGCTAAGATCTCACTTCTCTGGTATGGGGGGGCCGCAGGTCACAGGGCTGGCTGGCCTGGGAGCCTTTATCCCGGGCTCTCTATGGGGCTTAGCAGCTGGAATAACAAATCCCCCCACAGCTGGCACCTTTTCAATGTCCAGGTCCAAACTCAGATGACCCCTCCCAGAGAGGCCTACCCCCCTCTAGCATATTGCCTTGGCCTGGGGTCTTCCCAGCACCTACATTCACCTGCAGCTTGTACCTTGTTTCTTGTTGATCCATTTCCTTTTCTTAAAGTGTTAATTTTATTTATTTATTATTATTTTTCAAAATAAACTCTACCCCCAACATGAGGCTTGCACTCACGACCCTGAGATCAAGACCTGAGCTGAGGGGCACCTGGGTGGCTCAATGGGTTAAGTGTCTGACTTTGGCTCAGGTCATGATCTTGCGGTTTGTGGGTTCGAGCCCCGTGTCGGGCTCTGCGCTGACAGCTCAGAGCCTGGAACCTGCTTTGGATTCTGTGTCTCCCTCTCTCTCTCCCTCTGCCCACCCCCTCGCCCCGTTGCACTCTGTCTCTCTGTCTCTCTCTCTCACAAAAATAAAATAAACATTAAAAAAAAAAAAGACCTGAGCTGAGATCAAGAGTCGGACACTTAACCCACTGAGCCACCCAGGCCACCCTCCTTTTTTATCCTCCACCCAGGCCGAAGCATGGCTCCGTGAGAGCTGTGACCGAGCTGTCTGACCACTTATTGAATGAATCCATGGAATTATATACATTGGAATTCAAATCCCACCTCATTCATCCATTCAACACTGATGTATCCAAGGTATCAGGCTCTGGGTTGAGACTGAGGACCCCTAGATGGGTGAGCCCTGCCCCCCCACAGGCACGCGCGCACGCGCGCACACACACACACACACACACACTCACACAGGCACAGACATGAGAAGTAGCTTTGTGTAGGTTTGGCCTGTGCAAAGAGCAGAGCTGGCTGGATTGGAGACCAAGAAAACGGAAGCAGGAGGGGCGTTTGGAGATGGGCCAAGGTAGCAAGGTCACTCCTGTGTGTCTGCTGCCAGTGTGGAGGCCGCTCACAGGGGAGCGTGACCAGCTGCCACCCTCCCCTTGCCCTGGCGTGTAAGCATATGGGGCGGCAGATCAAGGGAAGAAAGGGCAAGGCATGGGGCAAAAAGATGATACTGGTGGCCACTTGAATGGGACCCCGAAATCATATAGTGCCCTCTTGAGGGCACCGGATCTCATAGGGGATAGCCCTGAAAGTGAGGTGTGGGGGTCCTACCTCCTGGCTCGGCTGTGCCAGTCTTTGTGCCTCGTTCGGGCAAATGCTCAGCCACAGGAAGACTTTTTAAGAACTTACTTAATAGATATTTACTGAGCACCTGCTATGTGTCGGACCCTGGGAAATAAAAGCCCTGAGGCCTGTCCTTGACTTTATGGTCCAGTGAGAGGGAGGCATTAAGTAAACAGATGGATACAGACTGCTATAGGTTCTATGAAGCAAAGGACACAAAGCAAAATGACAGCAGAGGAGCAACCTGGCTTGGGTGGTCGAGAAAGAAGAGGTGACATTTAAACGAAGATCTTCCAGCCCTTTGAAAAGATGACAAGTGGGGTCGTCTGGGTGGCTCAGTCGGTTAAGCATCTGGCTTTTGCTCAGGTCATGATCTCCTGGCTCATGGGTTCGAGCCCCGCGTGGGGCTCTGTGCTGACATCGCAGAGCCTGGAGCCTGCTTCCAATTCTGTGTCTCCCTCCCTCTTTCTCTCCCCCTCCCCCACTTGCACTGTCTCTGTCTCGCTCTCAAAAATAAATAAACATTAAAAAAAAAAGATGAAAAAACAAAAAGATGACAAGTGTGCCAGGGAGAGGGAATGGTAGATGCGTGGGCCTTGAGGCAGAAAAGAGCTTGTCCTGTTGAGGATGGGAGGTCTCCTTATGTTCCTGCCCATCTCAACTCCACCACACCCCCCACCTAACCCAGTTTTTTACAGTTTATTTATTTTGAGAGAGAGAGAAAGAGAGAGAGAGCGAGAGCACACGCACATGAGTGGGGGAGGGGCAGAGAGAGACTCCCAAGCAGGTTCAGTGCTGTCAGCACAGAGCCTAACATGGGGCTTGAATTCAGGAACTGTGAGATCATGACCTGAGCCAAAGTTGAGAGTCAGATGCTTAATGGACTGAGCCACCCAGGCACCTCCCGCCTAACCCATTTTAGATTCCCTTACCATGCTCAGAGCCTGGAGCTCTAACAAAGGATCTGATTTCCTTGTTTACTACATTTATTGCTTATTGTTTTTCCCCCACTAGGATGTAAACTCAGTGAGGTTACAGATTTTCTATTTGCTTACTGATCTATTTCAATTCCTAGGGCAGTGACTGGCCCATAATTGGTGCTCGATAAATATTTCCCAGATAAATAACGGGGACCTCATAGAAAACATATGTTCACACAAAAACTAGTACACACCTGTTAATAGCAGCACTATTCCTAAGTACCAGAAAGGATAAACAACTCAAATGCCTATCAAATGATAAATGGATAAACAAAATGTGGTCTCTCCATACAGTGGAATACTATCCAGCTATAAAAGGAATTTTTATTGATATATGTTATAATGTATATATGTATAATATAACATTGATATATGTTATAATGTAGATGAACCTCAAAAACATTATGCTATGGGTGCCTGGGTGGCTCAGTAGGTTAAGCAACTGACTCTCGATTTCGGCTTATATTATGACCCCACAGTTTGTGAGTTCAAGCCCGGCTTCGGGCTCTGCACTGACAGTGCAGAGCCTGCTTGGGATTCTTTTTCTCCTTCTCTCTGTCCCGCCCCTGCTCTCGTGCTTTCTTTCTCTATCTGTCTCAAAATAAATAAATAAACTTTAAAAAATAAAAGGATTGGCAAACTTAAAAAAAAATTTATTTTTCTGGCTAAGTGAAAGAAGCCAGTCACCAACGGCCACACGTTGTATGATTCCATTTACATTTAGTGTTCAGAATAGACAAATCCATAGAATTTAGTGGTTGCCAGAGGGGAGAGGGGAAGGGGGGGAGGATTGCTAATGGGTACAGGATGTTCTTTTGGGGGCGATCAAAATGTTCTAGATTTAGTGGTGATGGTTCCACAACTCTGTGAATATAATAAAAACCACAGAAATGTACATTTTAAAAAATGTTTTTATTTAGAGAGCGAGCGCACACGCACGCGCTTGAACAGGGAGAGGGGCAGAGAGGGGACACAGAGTTAGAAGCCGGCTCTGCTGCGGTGACAGCAGCTAGTCCAATGCAGAGCCCGACCACGAACCCTGAGGTCATGACCTGAGTCGAAGTCCGACGCTCAACTGACTGAGCCACCCAGGCGCCCATAAAATGTCCATTTTAAGTGGTTAAACGGTGAACTTTGTTATGTGAATTTTATCTTGATAAAAAATCCTTTTAAAAAAGTTTTGTTAAAAGAAAAAGGTCCCCACTCCCCTTACCAGGTTTCTGCATCCAGCTCTCTTCCGAGGAGGCCGCTGGGGGCGGGGCAGCGTGGGGCCCGAGAGCAGGCAGGCAGTGGGACCCCTGGGCGCTGGCGGAGCTAATCGGGACGGATTTAAACTCTGGCTGTGTCTTCCTGCAGTGGGCGCTGCTGAGAGTGGCATCAGCCCGCGAGCAGTGTGGCAGTTCCGCAACATGATCAAGTGTAAGATCCCCGGCAGTGACCCCTTGATGGATTACAACAACTACGGCTGCTACTGTGGCCTGGGTGGATCGGGCACGCCTGTGGATGACCTAGACAAGTGAGTGACCGATCAGCAGAGGGAGCGCAGTGACCGCGGGGTGGGGGGAGGGCATAAGCCAAGGATCTCACGAGAAGGCACAGAAAAGGGATTCGCTATAGGTAACAGCTTTTCAACTCTTTTCTTTTTACATGTTTTTATTTTTGAGAGAGAGAGAGAGAGAGCGAGAGAGAGAGCGCGCGCGTGAGAGCGTGAGCATGAGCAGGGGAGGGGCAGGGAGAGAGGGAGACACAGAATCAGAAGCAGGCTCCAGGCTCTGAGCCGTCAGCACAGAGCCCGACGCGGGGCTCGAACCCACGAACCGTGAGATCATGCCCTGAGCCCAAGTCGGACGCTTAACCAACTGAGCCACCCAGGCGCCCCTTTTCAACTCTTGTACAAACAAACATGCTCCAAGAGGCCCCTGAATCCAGTGCTCTCGGTTAGGAGGAAAAGCGGAAGGTTGGAGACGTCAAGCAACAGTGGATGCTGCTGCCCCCTAGTGGCAGAATATTGCAACCCAAACCGCCACAGCGCCGATGGGATTTGTCCTCTTCAGCAGTGGTTGACTCTCTCACCGCATCTTCAGAATCCATACCTGATTGTACTACATTCCTGCAACCCATTTTTAAAATCGCCTTCAATAAACATGATAAAAGGACTTAAAAATTTCATGCCACAGGACAAATATCTTCCGGAGCATGTCAGCTACATCCTCCCCATTGCTGAGCCTGCCCTGCGGCCCTGCCCCTGCCTCAGCTCTGTCTTTCCCCCACTCCAGGTGCTGCCAGACACATGACCACTGCTACTCCCAAGCCAAGAAACTGGACAGCTGTAGATTCCTCCTGGACAACCCCTACACCAAAACCTACTCATACTCATGCTCTGGCTCTGAGATCATCTGCAGCGGTAGGTTACCCCCTTGTGGGAAGCACTCATGGTAATGATATCCACCATTTATTGACTGCCTTGGTGCCATGCTGTGTCTCCTTTAATCCTGGCAACGATCCTATGAGATAGGTATTATTATTATACCTGTTTGACAGATGAGGAAACTGGGGCACCCACCATTTGGGGTTTTTTTAATGCAGTTTCAGAACTTTTTAAAATTTTTATTGTTTATTTTATTTTTGAGAGAGGCAGAGTGTGAGCAGGGGAGGGGCAGAGAGGGAGAGAGACATAGAATCCTAAGGAGGCTCCAGATTCTGAGCTGTCAGCACAGAGCCTGTCGCGGGGTCAAACTCATGAACCACAAGATCACGACTTGAGCGGAAGTCGAAGTCAGACGCTTAACTGACTGAGCTACCCAGGCGCGCCATTTGGGTTTTTCTGGGTTTTTGTTTTTGTTTTTGTTTGAGAAAGAGACAGAGACAGAGAGAGGGAGAGCGAATCCTAAATAGGTTCTGCATCACCACCATGGAGCCCTCTGAGGAGCCCTACAAGCGCTCCATCTCACAAACTGTGAGATCATGACCTGAGCCAAAATGAAGACTCAGATGCTTAACCAACTGAGCCACCCAGACACCCTGGTGGTGTTTGGTTTTGAACAGGTTTATATGGCTCCAAGGTCTCTGTTCTTAACTGCTATGCTATACAGTGTCGTTATTTCATAAAAAGAGCTTAGAACTACCACTTATCAGTTTTTTATTACATACCAGGGAGTAGGCTAAGCATATATATAAGTTTTACTAACCCCATTTTACAGGTGAGGAAGCTGAGGCTCAAAAATAGCTACTTGCCCAAAATCACACAGCTTGTAAGTGGTAGGGTCAGCATTTGAACTCAGTTGTTTCTGATTTCAAATGTTCTGGTCTTAACCACTAAGCCTTATGCACGGCTTGTGATGAAATATATCCGTTTATGAAGGTACAAGTCAGAGGTGAATGGTATTTTCATGCTAGGCTGGCATTCTGGATTTTCACTACTCTTTTCTATGCACTCAGAGTTGGGTCCCACTTTTAAAAACTGTACATATATCATTGGAATAACTGTAATTCAAATCCAGAAGGCCAAGAAAAAAGTTACCGGGAATCCCACCATCTTTTTAAAAGCATTGTTAAAGTTTATTACTTTTTTTTTTTTTTTTTTTTGAGAGAGAGAGCATCCCAAGCAAGCTGTCAGCATAGAGCCTGATGCAGGGACTTGAGATCATGACCTGAGCCGAAATCAAGCATCGGACACTTAACCAAAAGAGTCACTCAAGCACCCCAGGAATCCCACCATCTTAAGGAATAAACAGTTTCACAGCTCTGTGTTCATTTGTGCTTATCCTTGGAATAAGGTTTTTTATCATTTTAATCATAGCTAGCCACCTCAAGTCCTTTGTTTCCTTTTGCATGAAACACTTCCCACATGAAGTCTCATTCCAGGACTTCCAATGTCGCTTTCTCTGTGCAGTCTTCCCTTTTATTATTTTACTTTTTTTTTTTTTAGAGAGAGAATGCAAATAGGAGAGAGGGGTAGAGGGAGAGAGACAGAATCTTAAGCAGGCTCCATGCTCATGCAGAGCTCAAAGCGGGGCTCAGTCCCATGACTCTGGGATCATGACCTCTGCCCCTCTCCCCAGCTCGTGCTCTTCTCTCTCTTAAAAAAAAAAATCAGAGAGAAAATTTTAATAAGATTATTGAATGTAAGCAGAAGAATTAAATTATGGATAATAAATTTGAAATGCATTTTATTTAAAAAAGACTTTAAAATGTTTCTTTTTACTTTTTTAATTTCCTTTTTACATTTTTTTAATGCTTTATTTATTTCTGAGAGAGAGAGAGAGAGAGAGAGAGAGAGAGAGAGTGTGTGAGCAGGGGAGGGTCAGAGAGAGAGGGAGACACAGAATCTGAAGCAGGCTCCAGGCTCTGAGCTGTCAGCATAGAGCCCGACGCGGGGCTTGAACCCACGAACGTGAGATCATGACCTGAGCTAAAGTCTGACGCTCAACCGACTGAGACACCCAGGCGCCCCTCTTTTTATTTTTGAGAGAGAGAGAGCATGAGCAGGCGAGGAGCAGAAAGAGAGGGAGACACAGAATCCGAAGCAGGCTCCAGGCTCCGTGTTGTCAGCACAGCCCCACGCGGGGCTTGAACCCACGAACCACGAGATCATGACCTGAGCTGAAGTTGGACGCTTAACCAACTGATCCACCTGGGTGCCCCTTGAAATGCATTTTAAAAGTTATCGTTGTTTTTTTCTCGTTAAAAAATAAACAAGGCAAAAGTAGCATAATTTCACAGTCTACAGAAATACATTATGGAAAGTGGAAGGTGCCTATAATCCTACTACCCAAGATAGCTAGTTAGATGCAATGTCCTTCATTTTCCTTTAATATAATATCTGGGAAACATTTCCACATATGGGCATACTTATTTTTTTAAAATATTTTTATTTATTTCTAGGAGAGAGAGAGAGAGAGAGACAGCGTGAGCAGGGGAGGGTCAGAGAGAGAGGGAGTCACAGACTGAAACAGGCTCCAGGTTCTGAGCTGGCAGTCAGCACAGAGCCCGACGTGGGGCTCGAACCCACGAACCGCAAGATCATGACCTAAGCAAAAGTCGGACGCTTAACCGACTAAGCCACCCAGGCGCCCCATACTTAATTATTTTAAATATTTACATAGTATTGTACTGTAAGAACGTTCTGTAACTTTTAAAATGTGCTTTAGAGAAATTGGCTTGCTAAATTTCACTAAGTTGAAATGCACAATACTTTGCTGTCTTGAATATATGTTTTAGTGTTTTCCATATTGTTTATAAATTGCTTGCCTATGTTATCAGAGATGTATAGCTCTGTGGGTTATAAGAGCTCACTTAGGGATGTGAAATGGACAGGACTTTCCTATCTATCACACCCAGGACTACCAGATTAAACACACGTTGCCCAATTAAATTTGACTTTCAGACAGATGATGAACATTTTTTATTCTACATTCCAGATACTGTATTTTTTTTGTTTATCTGAAATTTTGGTATCTTTTATTTACTTGATCTGTCAAACCTAAATCTGTATAAATGCAGTGGCCATTATTCCAGCTCATTCCTCCTGCCCCCGATTGGACAACGCAGGATCTACCTTGGCTCAGTCCTCTCCTCTTGCTCTTTTCCAGACAAAAACAAACCCTGCGAGGCCTTCATCTGCAACTGCGACCGCAATGCTGCCATGTGCTTTTCAAAGGCCCCGTATAACAGCGAACACAAGAACCTGGACACCAAGAAATACTGTGACCAAGAAATACTGTGACAATTGAGGGTGGCTTCTGGAGAGCATCATCTCAACCCGCCTCATGCCCTTCACCTTACCCTGTGTCCTCCAATAAAGCACTTTGTTGAAAGGCCTCACGTTTGCATATTGTTTTATCCTCCGACTGTGCAACATGACTAAGTCTCTTCCTAGTTCTTTGTGAGCATCATTCGTTCTGGCCTTGGGAGTTGAATTAGAGAGATATTTCTGGGAAGTGAACCCCGTAAGACCTGAATAATGATCAACAACCACTGATTATTGCCAGATCAAAATATATAATCTATCCTCCTCGGTAAAAGCCTAGCTCTTTTTCATTATCCCAAGGGCTAAGGGAGAGAGAAAACGAATTCCTTTAGCAATCTTTTAATGAGCATCTGCTGGGTGCTCATGAAAGGAAATGGATTCTGGAAACACTAGTACAGAGGCTGAGATTAAAATGAATACCTAAGGGGCGCCTGGATGGCTCAGGTGGTTAAGCGTTAAACTCTTGGTTTCTTTCCGCTCAGGTCATGATCTCTCCATTCATAGGTTAGAGCCCCGCATCGGGCTCCTCCGCGATGGTGCACAGCAGGCTCTGGGTTCTCTCTCCCTCTCTCTCTGCCCCTCCCGCACTCCTGCATGAGCTCTTCTCTCTTCAAATAAATACACTTAAAAAAATAAATGAATACATAATTAAGCAAACCTAATGAGTATTCCGAAGTAGCTATTATAACCCAGCAGCCGCAGTATCTTCACAGGGCTTAGCACATCGCACACGTTCATTAAATAGTTGTTCAACGACGGTACATCTTGGCGCCAAGGTGTGTTGCAGTCCAGGAAAAACCACGTGGCTCTATTTACCTTTTCGGATCACGTGATCCTCCACCCGACCCAGTCATTTCCCCGGCCCCCGGGAGGGATTTCAGGGTAAGAACGATGATTGGGTATCTTGGGGACACGTGGTTCCCGGTTCCTCTTTTTACGTTGGTGAGGAGCGGCCCAACCCCCGGCCTCCCTCCGCGCCTCCCAGGTTCTGGCCTCGCTCCCTGGCGCGTCGGCACGGGCTGGCGCAGGCGCAGTGGCTAGTAACGGTTACTCCAGCGGCGCGCGGCTGAGGTGGCGGCGACCGCCCCGTGCGCCGCTTCCTGGGTCCTAGGTGCGTGGCTCTCCGGGTTCAGAATCCGGCCGGAAGGAGAGAGTGGGCGGGCCGAGTGTGAAAAACGAGCTCACGTGCGTAGGACGTCGGGTCCCACCTCCCTGCCGTGCGCGTCCCCTCCTGTGTCTCCTGGCCCCGCACACGCCCCCTCCTTCCCCAGCCTCCCTGCCAGCTTCCGGTTGGTAGCTCCTCGTGGGCTTTCATCCCGGAAAGGGACGAGGGGGCCGGGAAGGTGGGGTGCAGGGAGCCAGAGCGTGGAGAGGGGCGAGTGGGTATTGGGCTAGCTAAGGGTTTCTGCACCCCAGGTCCCCACTTGAACCCCCCCAAACTCCACTTTCAAGAGGTGGGGGGGAAAGCTGGAGGGATTTGCAGTTCTGACCTCTCTGTTTTTGCCTTTGTTGTTACCTCCATTTGGAATGCTCGCTCTCCCTTTTCCCGCCCGGGGCTTGCCTGTTCATCTTTCCAGGATCTAGTTGGTGACACCTCAAGAAGTTTATTGAGCCTTGCCCTCGTTCCCTCCCAAAGTACGGTTGCGCAATTACCCCCATTGGGTTTCTAGAGCATTAAAGAAAGAGGGTTCAGAACTGGATGGACTGGGTTTGATTACTGGCCTGGTCACGCCAGGTGACCTTGGGCTAGTAGCATGAAATCTCCAAGCTTCAGGATCTTCATCTTTCAAAAGAAATAATAGTGTGCAGATCAGAGGGTTGTGGGAATTGGGTGAGTGAATGCCTTGTAAAATGCTTCCTACAGGAGTGCGTGTTGTATAGTAAATGTTCATAAATACTCTCTTCCCAAGGGGAAGCAGAGGGAAGGGTACTCTTTATTTTCTTTAGAAAGGCGTTATTGTATCAAGCCAGACTTGGCTTTTGTAAATTTTTTTTCTTTTTTGAAAGACAGACAGGTACGCACAAACGAAATGTGGCTCTGGAGAAGATCTGTGGGAGTCTAGTTAAAGGAGACCAAGGTTTAGCCTGTGATAATGGCTGATAACTGCTTACCTTACACCTGGCACTGGGCAATGAACTTCAGGTGCATCACTACCTTTTTTTAAATCTTCCTAGCAACCCAATGAGGTAGCTACTAGTATCCTGATTTATAAAGAGATTGAAGATTAACCACTTTCCCAAATTCACGAAACTAGTAAGTAGTAAGACCGGGATGGAAATCCAAGTCTGTCTATATAATAAGAGTTTTGATTCTGTGCTGTATTCTTTTTCTTTTCTTTTTTTTTTTTTTTAAATTTTTTTTAATGTTTTATTTATTCCTAGGAGAGAGAGAGAGAGAGAGAGAGTGTGAGCAGGGGAGGGTCAGAGAGAGAGGGAGCCACAGACTGAAACAGGCTCCAGGCTCTGAGCTGGCAGCCAGCACAGAGCCCGACGCGGGGCTGGAACCCACGAACCGCGAGATCATGACCTAAGCGAAAGTCGGACGCTCAACCGACTAAGCCACCCAGGCGCCCCATGTGCTGTATTCTTTTTCTAATAAATTGAGGGGGGGGGGAATCCCACTCTCCTTTCTTGGACGAGTTTACCTTCTTTTTTTTTTTAATTCACAAAGTGGAATTTATCTGTTTTGTGACATCAAAAAATTAAAAAATCTGGATCTCAGAACACCATCTTGCATCTCAACAAGGATAACGTATCTGGAATCAACTTTTATACTTGGTGGCAACTTCCGCTATTCCTAGGAGCGGGGTAACCAACTCATCCTGGTTATAGCACTGAAAAGTCCTGCATCCCAGGAAAACCCTTCAATACTGGGCAATCTGGGACTGCAGGTCTCTATGCTTAGAGGAGTGTTGAATTTCCTATTGGTCCTTAAAGTGATCCTCTCAGGAAAGGTCTGACATTCACTGAAGACTGATTCTTATGCATGGCCAAGCATTTCCTGTGGGGTTAACTCTTAACTAAGTGAGCAAATGTGTTGTAAGACACTTCACACAGTGCTTGGGATATAGTGTGCTCAATAAATTCTATTATTTAAGAGAGAGGGGGAGAGGTATTCAATTTATGACAGCATAAAAGAAGAGATATGAGTTAGTGGGAAGGAGGTTTCATGTGTTATGTGCTTGTTTGCCTTTGTGACTTCTACTTACTGAAACTGTGATGGCAGAGTCATGGAAGGATTTGTGGAAAGTCATGACCAAAGCTGGGCTTATGTGGTCAGAAGCCTATAACCAGGGCAGTGACAAACTGATAGCATCCACCAGTCAGTATTCCAACAGAGGACACTTACAGTGGGTTAGGAACTGCCATCCTGGTAGAAAGCAAAAGATGTAAAGTGAAGAGACATAGAAGCATCAGCTTCAGGAAATGCCAAGTTCCTCTTGGGACAAATTTTTGGGGAAGAATTCCACCTCTGGAAGAACTATGAACAAAATGAACACTCCTAAGGTCCTGAAGACTCGATTTCATGAATTGTGCCAGCATTTAGTGATGGAAAGAGCCCTGCCTTCCTCCCTGGCAACCTGACTGCTGGATTTTAACCATTCCTGGTCCCCTTAGCCAGCTGTACTGCTGGCTTCTACTTTACTTTAGGTTGACTTCTTTCTAACCATGATCTTCAGACAGAAGAAGCTGTTGTTTAAAAAAGAAACGAACTGGGAGGAAAGTCTTGGATTCTAGTCCTGGCTCTGAAACTATGTTGGATGGCCTTGCTTAAGTCTGGATGTTAGTTTCCTCCAAAATAAAACGAGGAGGGATGGGTTTAATTTGCTCTCATTTTGCCATTCCATGCATGAATCTGGGCATTTTCTGGTAGAGAATAAGAATGGGGGGAATAGCACATTCTCTGTGAGCCACTTGAAGCCAAGAGGTTGTACCTTTGTAGCCTTAGTACCTTAATGCTGTTAGGAACTACTGATGAAATTACGAATGAGAATGGCTTGAGATTCAAAAGACCCAGATTTGAATACAATGATTGGTGCTGACTTAGTAACTAAGCAAGTCAGATTCGGAGCACCTTAGGATCTTCATCTGCAAAAAAGCTGGAATGAGATTTACAATCTTACACCTCTTCAGAATTAATGACTATGAGAAAGCATACATTTGTGCACATGAAAAGAACTCTGTCGGTTTCAAGATCTTGGATTATCCCAGTTAACTATAATTTACTTCCTAGGCAGGTGCAGGATGAACATGTTTTGCTTGCCCTAATTTTAAGACAAAAGGCTATCCAAGATAGGTTATGATTCTTTCATCTGCTTCACTTTTGAGGAGATTGTGCTGAAAGCTTTAGCCTGGTACAATGACTCTTTCTGGCTAACACACTAATCAAACAGGGCTTGCTGCCTTGCTCAGCAGAAACAAATCAGTTTAAGAGCCCACTTGGGAATTCAGTTTCCTCTCTACACATCAGGTTTGAGGCAAGTGTCTCATTCTGGCAGCCGAAATCCAGCAGAAATCCTTGTCATAAAGGCCCATTCTCTTTTAACTGATTAAAAAAAAAAGAAGAAGAATATAGGGGCGCCTGGGTGGCTCAGTTGGTTTAATGTCGGACTTTGACTCAGGTCATGATCTCACAGTTCATGGGTTCAAATCTCACATCAGGCTCTGTGCTGACAGCTCAGAGCCTGGAGCCTGCTTTTGGATCCAGTCTCTCTCTCTCTCTCTGCCTCCACCCTGCTCCCCAGCCCCACTCGTGCTCATTCTCACTCTGTCAAAAATAAGTTAAAATGTTAAAATAATTAAAAAAAAATATAAAAACATACAGCCATGGCCTGATGTGCTATTTAAGAAATTATTTCTTTATTCCTTAGTTAATAAAAAATTTATTCAGAACATTGCTCATATTTTAGAAAAATATACCAGAATGTTTCAGTTAAAGACATTTAACCATTAGGAATTCTAAATTAAGTCCTTTACTTCTCCCCTCAGCCTCCGCATTAGTGAGATTCCTGGTTACTGCTCCAGAGACCATTCTGGCCTACGTGTTTCCCAGGCCGTTTCTACTGCCTGGTGAGGTAAAAAGGAAGTGAAAGTAGTTTACCTATCAATAGAAGCTGCTTCTCTGAAAAAGTCGTTCTTCAGGGGAAAATTTCATCAGCCTGACTGGAACCTGCCCTGTTCATAGGCAGGCTAGGAGAAAGATGCTGGTTTGCTGCCCTCTACAGGCTGTACTCAGTGAGCTTCGGTTAGTTAGAGGAAGAAGGAGGAATCCTTAAGGATCTGGAAAGAAATGAAACAAGTTAGTCCCAAATAAGCCGAGTAGGTGGGGGACAATGATTGTGAACATCAGCCTACCATTCAAGAAACCACAGCATTTAGGGCACTTAAAGAGGGCCACTATATCTTGAGTGAACACAGGATGTGATAAAAGATGCACAGCTTGATTTGGTTTTCATAAAAACAGGTTTAGTTATATCAGAATGTTAAACTCTGGTTACCGTGGTGGTGGGATAATGGGTAGTTTGTATTATATTCTTTTTACTTATCTGTATCATCTAAACGTTCTACAATATATACGTATTATTCTAATAAGCTAGTTAAAAAGTGTATTAAAAAGTGTCTGGGGCTCAGTCAAGCCACTGGGTGGCTCAGTCAGTTGAGTGTCTGACTTCAGCTCAGGTCATGATCTCATGGCTCGTGGGTTCGAGTCCTGTGTTGGGGTCTGTGCTCACAGCTCAGAGCCTGGAGCCTGCTTTGGATTCTGTGTCTCCCTTTCTCTCTGCCCCTCCCCCCCTCAAAAATAAACATTAAAGAAAAAAAAATTTTAAGTGTCTGTACTAAGGGGACTTCTTTGGTGCTACTAATCTGTTCTGTTGAATCTGTTCCTTGATCTAGATGCTTTATGTCTTCATCAAACTGTCCACTTATAATACATGCTCTTCTGTTTGTATAGTATACTTCCAAGAAAAAACATTTGTGTTTTTTTTTTTTTAACGTTTTTTTATTTATTTTGAGAGAGAAAGGCAGAGAGAGAGGGAGACGGTGAATCCCAAGCAGGGTCTGTGGTGTCAGCAAAGAGCCTGACAGTGGTTCAAAGTCACAAACTGTGACTGAGCTGAAATCAAGAGTCAGATGCTCAACCGACTGAGCCACCCAGGCGCCCCCAAAATGATTTTTAAAAAGTGGTTGTACAAGAACTCTCATTCATTGGTGGGAATACAAAATGGGACAGCCACTTTGGAAGGCAGTTTGACAGTTGTGTCCAAAACTAAACAAACTTTTATCACACGATCCAGCAGCCTTGCTCCTTGGTATTTACAGCAACTTTATTCATAATTGCCAAAAACTTGGAAACAGCCAAGATCTCCTTCAGTAGGTGAATCGAATGATAATACTGTGTGAGTGTATAGGGACAAAGGGCATATTAGAACCCTTTGTTCTTACTGCTCAGTTTCGCTGTGAACCTAAAACTAATAAGTAAGGTCTCTTTTTTTAAAAAGTGGTTGTATTTCTCTGAGGATATACTAAAACCTATTGAATTGTACATATTACATGAATAAGCTCTGTGAACTATATCTCAATAAAGCTTTTTATTTTATTTAGAGAAAGAGTGTGAGCAGGGAAGAGGGGCAGAGAGAGAGAATCTCAAGCGAACTCTACCCTCAGTACAGAGCCCTACCTGAACCTTGATCCTGTGACCCTGGGATATGACCTGAACCCAAGTCAAGCATCAGCTGCTCAACTAACTGAGCCACCCAGGTGCCCCAAAGCTTTTTATTTTTAAGTGGTTGTATCCATAGATTGAAATAGATATAAAAATACCAATACATGCTACAATATGGATGAAACTTAAAACTATTATACCAAATGGAGAAGCCAGACACAAAAGGCCACATTTTCCATGAAATGTCTAGAATAAACAAACAGACTAGCTGTTGCCAGGGTGGGGAGAGGTGGAGGGGTTGGGTAGTATGGAGTGACTGCTGATGGGTACAAGGTTTCTTCTTGGGATGATGAAAATATTCTGGAATTAAACAGCTGTGAGTCATGTATAACTTTGTACTAAAACCCTAAATGAAAGGGTGAAAAGCTGTTATTTTTTTAAAACAGGAAAAAAAAGCAATGGCGGATTTTGAAATCTTTTAAATAGCTTTGTGCATAGAACTGGAAAATCATAGTCTTTCTGGGGCGCCTGGGGCGCTCAGTTGGTTGGGCATCCGACTTCAGCTCAGGTCATGATCTTACCGCTTGGGGGTTCCAGCCCCACGTTGGGCTCTGAGCTGTCAGCCTGGAGCCTGCTTCGCATTCTGTGTCTCCCTCTTCCTGTGCCCCTCCCCCACTCACACTCTCTCTCTGTTTAAAAAATTACTAAATGTTTAAAAAAAAAGAAAAAAGAAAATCATAGTCTTTCAACACTATAGCTTAACGCACATTAAAAAATTAGTGAAGAGTGGCCGTACATTAAGAACCCTATTTTGTCAGTGCTGTCAGTTGAATGGGAACTGGAGTCAGGATCTAGGAAAGCATTTACCTTTAATAGCAGGATTCAAGTGAAAGTCCCAGTTTCTGTCTCAGGAGCATCAGGCTGTGGTCAGTGTGGGTCTATCAGAGGCAGCAGTTCTCCACAACGAGAATCCAGTTTCAGACACGCCAAGTCATCGGACCGCGTGGGCCCAATGTTAAGTATTGCAATTGGGAGCTTCTTCTCTCGGGCAGTGAGGATGAACCTGTAACCAGAGTAAACCTTACAGGGAAGAGACACAGGTAAGAACTCTCAATACAGTTACAGATAAACCCAAGAGGGAGCCTCTCCAGGGCCCTCCAGCCCGCAAAAGGGGCCCTTCCCACCCTGACAAGTCCGATACCTGCAAGGATGATCCCACTACCAGGAGGGAGTCAGCTTCTTTTACACGCCTGCGCACAAAGTCAACCTTGTCAGGGTTCACCGTGTCCCCGAAGAAAACAACATCTGGTTTCAGGGGGCCTCCACATCGGGCGCAGGACGGGACCCGGAAGCTCTGTACCTGCTCCTCTGTGAGGAAGACGTCGCCATCAGGAGCCAGGCCGTGGGCCTCGGCACTCCAGGTGGGGTTCAGAGCTTCAAAACGCTCTTGTAACACCCCCCGGGGGATCTGGTCACCACAGGCCAAGCAAAGGACCCTGAAACCGAAGAAGAGGCTGCCTGAACGTCTGGTCCCGAGAAGGCATGAGGCGGCCAAAGACCTCTCATCGCCAACCTTCTGTAGCTCCTCCAACATCGTGTACGGGTCCTAGTGCAGGCTTCCCCCACGTTAGGAACACCTTCTCATGTTAACTGCCACCACTCCTCGCCTGCCTTCGACGGCCAGCTCTGGAACGAGCAGTGCGTGTGGTTTCCTTATATACACTGCCTGCTTAACCCGTTGGTTCATTTTTATCCTTAGTGCAACTGCAACTCCTTCACCAATGACTTCTTTAGTGCCCAGACTGCTGCTTCCCTCCCTCCTTCTCCTCCTCCAGGCTGATGGGTGCTGTCCGTCACCACCATCCCTAAAACACTCTTCCTCTCGGTGTCCTTCCAGTGACACCTCACCTCTCTCAACATGAGCTCGTGTGAGGGCAAGAACTTTGGGTCCTTTGACCACTGTGCTGTGCCCACCACCTAGAACAGTGCCTATAGACAGTAGCCACTCAATAAATAGAAGCTATTTTAAGAGACAGTGGATGCGGGGGGAGGGGGAGGAGTAGGCATGATAAAATCTTTGAGTGACGATACACGGGAGTTCATTATGCTGCTTTCTTATTGGGGAGATTTGGAACTTTCATCAGGAAAAGAAAATTTTGATGGGACCAAGGCCATCATTAGCTCCAAATTCCCCTGATACCACCTTGAACTGGGTCCTTCAGGCTGACCTCCCTGAGCCACTCTCCCTAATCCTGTGTGGCTTTCCTCAAATGCTATTTTTATTATGTTGCTATCTTGCTCAGGAACCACTAATAGTCCCTTTTTGGCTCTCACAAGAGACCCAAATTGCACTGTACTATTTTAAGATGTGCCGATGATTTGGGTCTAACCTTTCCAGACAATCTGATTTCGTAGTAGTCTCCACAGAGACCAGGCCAGACTCCTCTGAGCCCTACAAATCCTCTTCATTTAGAAAGCCCTCTCCCCTGTTTTGTTCAGTCAGACCTGAGCCAGGCTCAAGTCCCACCTTTCCCATAAAAGCTTGACCGATTACTCCAAGCTTTACTAAATCTGTTTCTCTGAACCTATAAAGCATGTCTATCAAGGACCACATAATTTAACAATCACGTATGGAGTTGTCTGTTGTTAAACATGTTATTTTTGGATCCCCCCAACCCCCAAGAGATTACAGAGTTCTCACATATAAAGTACAGCACGTTTTATGCTTTGGTTTTGACCCCTCCACACCGCCAGTAGCGCCCCACATGACGTAGGCACCCAATAAATATTTTATGATTGGCAGGAGGATCTCTGGGGCTTAATAATAAGGAAATGGTCTCCAATTAGGTTCAAGTTATTGCCAGGGCTCCATGTGTTCCTTCCATCAATATTTACTGGGTTCTGACTATACTCCAGACTGTACTGTGTGCTATGTGTCCAGGCACCAGAGATCCACCAGCTTATAGACTATGCTGTTGGTGCCTTGCTCATAGTCCCCTCAGGACACCCTACAGGCCACTTGTACACAGTTCTCTTAGGAGCAACTTCCTGCATCTCTTTTAGGGGGTTTACTGGCCAAGGAATTGCAGAGTCAGTGTTAGGGAGTTAATTCCCCTAGAAAGACCCTCAACCAGTAAGGGATGGGACGTGGTAGATAAGTGCCCACGCTTCCTCAGCTTTCAGTAAGACACTTCTGAAGCATGCTCTAGACAGAGGGCCTCTCAAAGGATTGAGCCCCAGCTCCCCAAAGCTGCAGCCCATTCATTAACATACCCCTTTCTTGGCTTTTCTTCCCTACCCTGTTTCATTCCCCCACTCCCTCAGTGAGTTTGCTGGGATCAACTCCAAAATAAATGACTTGCTCCCAAATCTTTTCTCAAGGTCTAACGAGGACAACAGTGATCAAGACAGCCAGGGCCTTGCTCTCATGCAGCTCACATTCAAACTGTGTAGACCTTCCTGCACCTGTGCATGCAGCCATGGAGTTCTGTCAGGCGCTGACTCCCTGCTTTAGTGTGCAAGGCATCCACATTTTGGGTCACCAACCAGTACAGCTTTCCAAGTCTCTCCCAGTTGCTCAAGGCCCAATGGGCAGGGTTGGGCTGGAGGGACGAGAACCGAGGCCAGCCTACGAAGTTTCTCGCCCAGTACCGCTGGCGGATTGGAGCGCTCCGTAGAAAATCCCCGTGCTGGATGGGTTTCTGGTCAGTGCGGGCATAGAGTCCCACCTTTTCTGACCTGTAGTCTGGGATCCCTGACTCAGTGGAGATTCCTGCCCCAGTCATCACCAGGAGTCTCTTGGATAGGGTGATGAAGCGCTGTAACTCTTTGACCTTCTCCGGGTCTAGAGGTGGACTTGGTGGCACAAATAACCCCGTGGATCCATGTGAGCTTTGCCGGCTGATGCTCACCAGCCAGCGGCCTTTCGCTGTTCTGAGAGTCCACCTAAAATTCATCCTGTTCTAGAGAGAAAGAAACCTGATGTGAGAAAACAGGTTTTAAAAACTAAGGCTGGGGTCGCCTGGGTGACTCAGTAGGTTAAGCGTCCGACTTCGGCTCAGGTCATGATCTCACAGTTCATGGGTTCGCACACCACGTTGGGCTCTGTGCTAACGGCTCAGAGCCTGGAGCCTGTCTTCGGATTCTGTATCTCCCTCTCTCTCTGACCCTCCCCTGCTCACACTGTCTCTATCTCTCTCAAAGATAAATAAAACATCAAAAAAGAAAAATAAATAAATAAAAACTAAGGCTGCCAAAGGGCGCCTGGGTGGCTCAGTCTGTTGAGCATCTGACTTTGGCTCAGGTCATGATCTTGAAGTTAATGAGCTCGAGCCCCACCATGGGCTCACTGCTGTCTGCATGGAGCCCACTTCAGATCCTCTGCCCCTTCCTCTCTGCCCCTCCCCTGTCTCTCTCTCTTTCAAAAATATATAAAACAGTTAAAATATATATATATATATATAGGCGCCTGGGGGGCTCAGTCAGTTAAGCATCTGACTTTGGCTCAGGTCATGACTTCACGGTTTGTGGGTTTGAGCCCCACCTCAGGCTCTGTGCTGACAGTATGGAGCCTGGAGCCTCCTTCAGATTCTGTGTCTCCCTCTCTCTCTGCCCTTCACCTGCTTGCGCTCTGTCTCTCTCTCTTTCAAAAATAGACATTAAAAAATGTTTTAAATATATATATGTAAATAAAACTAAGGCAGCTGAAACTAAAAACAGAACTACCCTATGATCCAGCAATTGCACTATTAGGTATTTACCCAGAGGATACAAAAATATGGATTTGAAGGGGTACATGCACCCCACTGTTTATAGCAGCATTATCAACAATAACCAAACTATGGAGACAGCCCAAATGTCCATCAATTGATGAATGGTTAAAGATGTGGTATGTATATATAATGGAATATTATTCAGCCATCAAAAAGAATGAAATCTTGGGGTGCCTGGGTGGCTCAGTCGGTTAGGTCTGACTCTGGATTTCAGCTCAGGTCATGATCTCACGGTTCATGAGTTTGAGTCCTTCCAGCGCAGAGCCTGCTAGGGATTCTCTGTCTCCTTCTCTCTCTCTGCCCCTCCCCCACTTGTACATGTCCCCCCCTCTCTCAAATAAATAAATAAACTTAAAAAAAAAAAAAGAATGCTGGGACGCCTGGGTAGCTCAGTCAGTTAAGCGTCGGATTGTAACTCAGGTCATAATCACACAGTTTGTGAGTTCAAGTCCTGCATCGAGCTCTGTGCCGACAGCTCAGAGCCTGGTGCCTACTTCAGATTCTGTGTCTCCTTCTCTCTCTGTCCCTCCCCCACTCGTGCTCTGTCTCTCTCTCAAATATAAATAAAACATTAAAAATAAAAAAAAAATGAGGGGCGCCTGGGTGGCTTAGTCAGTTAAGCGTCCGACTTTCGCTTAGGTCATGATCTCGCAGTTCGTGGGTTCGAGCCCTGCGTTGGGCTCTGTGCTGACTGCCAGCCCAGAGCCTGGAGCCTGTTTCAGAGTCTGTCACTCCCTCTCTCTCTGACCCTCCCCTGCTCATGCTGTCTCTCTCTCTCTCCTAGAAATAAATAAAAACATTTTAAAAAAAATAAAAAAAAATGAAAACTTGCCATCCACAATGACGTGGATGGAGCTAGAATGTATTATGCTAAGCAAAATAAGTCAATCAGAGAAAAATACCATATAATTCCAGTCATTTGTGAAATTTAAGAAACAAAACATGAACATAAGGGAAGGAGGAGGAAAAAGAGAAGAGAGGGAAACAAACCACAAGAGACTCTTTTTTAAAAAATGTTTTCAAATGTTTATTGTTTCAGGAGAGAGAGAGACTGAGTGTGAGCGGGGGAGGGGCTGAGAGAGAGGGAGACACAGAATCCGAAATAGGCTCAAGGCTCTGAGCTGTCAGCACAGACCCTGATGCAGGGCTTGAACTCCAGAACCACGAGATCATGACCTGAGCTGAAGTCAGACACTTAACAGACTGAGCCACCCAAGCGCCCCAACAAACCACAAGAGGCTCTTAATGATAGAGAACAAATTATGGGTTGATGGAGGGAGGTGAGTGGAAGATGCTAGATGGGTGATGGATATTAAGAAGGGCACTTGTTGTGAGGACACTGGGTGCTGTATGTTAAGTGATGAATCACTGAATTCTCCTGAAACCAATATTGCACTGCATGTTAACTAAAATTTAAATTAAAAAACAAAACAAGACACCAAAACCAAAACTAAGGTAGCCATCAACTAACTGATGAATGGATAAACAAAATGGGGGTCTATCCATACAAGGAAATTTACCTATAAACATGAAGTTCTAATATATGCTACAATATAGATAAACATCAAAAACATTATGCTAAGTGTAAGAAGTCAGTCACAAAAGGACAAATACTATATGATTCCACTTATATAAAATGTCCAAAATACATAAATAAATAGAGACAGAAAGTAAATTAGTAGTTGCCAGGGACTGGAAGATGTATCAGAACTCTATTCTTTTTTTTTTTTTTTTTAGTCTTTCCCTTAAGACTTTTTTTTAAATTCAAGGGTAATTAACATATAGTATTATATTAGTTTCAGGTGCACAACATAATGATTCAACAATTCTATAGATTCGTCATTGCTCACCACTTTAAGTGCATGCTTAATCCCCAGCATCTATTTAACCCATCCTACTTACCCTCTGGCAGCCTCCAGTTTGTTCTGTATATTTAAGAGTCTGTTAAATGTCCATCAACTGACGAATGGATCAAGAAGCTGTGGTTTATCGGGGCGCCTGGGTGGCTTAGTCGGTTAAGGGTCCGACTTTCGCTTAGGTCATGATCTCACGGTTCGTGGGTTGGAGCCCCGCGTTGGGCTCTGTGCTGACTGCCAGCTCAGAGCCTGGAGCCTGTTTCAGTCTGTGACTCCCTCTCTCTCTGACCCTCCCCTGCTCACGCTGTCTCTCTCTCTCTCCTAGAAATAAATAAATAAAACAAAAAAAAAAAAAAAAGAAGAAGCTGTGGTTTATCTATACAATGGAATACTACATGGCAATGAGAAAGAATGAAATCTGGCCTGTGTAGCAATGTGGATGGAACTGGAGGGTTTTCTGCTATGTGAAATAAGTCAGTCAGAGAAGGACAGATACCGTATGTTTTCACTCACACGTGGATCTCGAGAAACTTAACAGAAGACCATGGGGACAGGGAAAGAGAAAAAAAGTTACAGAGAGGGAGGGAGGGAAACCATAAGAGACTCTTAAATACTGAGAACAAACTGAGGGTTGATGGGGGTGAGGGAGAGGGGAAGGTGGGTGATGGGCATTGAGGAGGGCACTCGTTGGGATGAGCACTGGGTGTTGTATGGAAACCAACTTGACAATAAATTATATTTAAAAAATAAAGGACTATGCTGGGAAAAAAGTCTGTTTTTGGGGTGCCTGGGTGGCTTAAGTCAGTTAAGTGTCTGGCTTGGCTCAGGTTGTGATCTCCCAGTTCATGGGTTGGAGCTCTGCATTGGGCTCTCCATGCAGAGCCCACTTAGGATCCTCTGTCTCCCTCTCTCTGTCCCTCCCCAACACATGTTCATACTCTCTGTCAAAAATAAACATGTTTTAAAAAGGGTCTCAGGGTACCTTGGTGGCTCAGTCGGTTAAATGTCCAGCTCTTGATTTCAGCCCAGGTCATGGTCTCATGGTTTGTGGGTTCGAGCCCCTCATCGGGCTCTCCATTGGCAGCGAGGAGGCTGCCTGGGATTCTCTCTCTCTTCCTTTCTTTCTCTCTGCTCCTCCCCCCACTCACTCATGCACGTGCATGCGTGCTCTCTCTCTCAAAATAAACTTAAATTTTTTTGAGTCTGTTTTTTTGTCTCTTTTTTCTTTGTTCATTTGTTGTGGTTTTTTTTTCTTAAAATTCCAAATATGAGTGAAATCATGTGGTATTTGACTTATTTCACTTAGCATTATATCCTCTAGATCCATCCATGTTGTTGCAAATAGCAAGATATCCTTCTTTTTATGGCTGAGTAATACTCCTGTGTGGAGTGAGTGTGTGTGTGCATGCACGTGTGTGTGTGCTGACATCTTCTTTATCCATTCGTCTATGGACACTCGGGTTGCTTCGATATCTTGGCTATTATAAGTAATGCTGCAATAAACACAGAGGTTCATATACCTTTTCAAATTAGTGTTTTTGTTTTCCTTGGGTAAATGCCTAGTAGTGGAATTACTGGATCATAGAATAATTCTATTTTTAATTTTTTAAGGAAACTCCATACTGTTTTCCACAGTGGCTGTACCAGCTTGCATTCCCACAAACAGTGCACAAGTGTTCCTTTTTCTCCATCTCCTCGCCCACACTACTTATTTCTCGTGTCTTTTGATTTTAGCCATTCTGTCAGGTGTGAGGTGATACCTCATTTATAGCTGAAAAGCAAAGGCGGCATCGAGGCATCAAGCATCAACAGCTTCCTCCACTGTCAACATTATGAAAAGAGAGACAAGCAGACTCGTCATGGAAGAGCACACCACTCCCCCTGCAAGATGTGGTCTTGGAAAAAAAATTTTTTTGAACTTGACAGTGTCCAGTCTCTAGAGTTTATTAACAATTTATAGGAAATACAGAGGCCAAAGCAATGTTACATGATATCATCTGTCAATCCATGAAGTTCAGACTATAGGCAAACAGGACAGACAAATCAGCTTCTTCAACAAATAAACTGCAAGAGACAGAAATAGATCTGAAGGGGGAATTACAGATTAAAGAGGTTTAAAGACATACCAACCAACTGTAATATGTGGGCCTTCCTTATCTGGAACGTTACAACATTGATAATTGGAAATTTGAGCATTACTGTATGTTTGATATTAAGAAATGATTGTTTTTTATGTAAGGGGGTATCTAGCTGGCTCAGTCAGTAAAGCATGCAACTCTTGATCTCAGAGTTGTGAGTTCAAGCCCCACATTGGTCTTAGAGATTACTTAAGGG